TTACAGGTATCCTATCCCAACTGATCGACGAAGGACAGTTGCCGTAACACAGGTAATTATTCGAATTTTCCGTCGACAGTGGGTTTCGAACTCTTGACCTGCCACTTGGTGGGGGTGACAACCTAACCACTACACTAGATCGCCACACCCCTTACTAGATAGTTAAAATTAAAGATTTTAAATAAAAATCTTCAAGGTTTAAATTGCAGATAAGTTTTTAAGTTTATTTAGTTATTAGACTTTCTTAGTTATATATTTGAGATTTTATTTTTAATACTAGACTTAAAAACTTTTTTTAATTATATAAAAGTTTTTATTGAGTCTAATAAAAATAAGAGCATGGTTTTATCTTAAATATTAAAAAAAAATAAAAATAAAAATTTTTAAAAATTCATCTTAACAAAAAGTTGAACTCTTATATAGTATGAAATCTCTTTTTTAATTTCAAACTTTAAAATAAAAGTAATAATAATTATTACTAGTTAATTTAATTACATATAGTAGTTGTTTTTTATAGTTACAGTTAGCCGACATGTTATACAAAATTAATCTACTATAAATTTCTAATTTATATTAATAATAACTAACAAACATTTTTGTAAAAAAATTAGGTCTTTTTGTTAGTAATATATATATTTTTTTAAAGAAAATTGTTCTACATCTTTTATATTATAAAATTATAGTTTATTCAGCTTTTTTAAAGCAACATTTTAAGGGTGTGACAACTTAGTAAAGTGGTGGAGTTATTGTACTTCCAGATGGCAGGTCTAGAGTTCAAATCCTATAAATGATATTTTTGAAAAATAGCTCTGTAATACAGTTAATGGCTATTCAATGACCGTTAGGATTCAAAAATCTGTAGTTTCGGTCACACTATCTAGAATGGGAGCTTTGGCGTAATAAATCTAAGATACCAGAAGAACCAAAAACCCGTTTGGCAAGTCTCAAGTTAGAAGGTAGCACAATCTTTGACAGTACTACAGGAGGACTGAATTTGAAACTGGAAATTAAGATCGGAGAACCAAGTGATTAGGTCTTTAAGTAGAGGGATATACTAGCCAAACTGCTGAGTTGCCAAACCAGAGGAAAGAGAGATGTACTCTGAAAGCATATACCAAGAGAAGGAAGACTATATATATAGACACCTAAAGTCTAGATAAACCAACTCTTCCGGGTTACTAGCTAGAAGTAAGAGAGAGACCGATAAAGAATCTGAGAAAGAAGAAAAGTTTGAATATGGGTGCTGGGGTTGTGTAAACCCAATTACAAGAGCGAGGAGTATGTAATAACTACTAAAATAGAAAGGTTGTGATTTGAAATATAGATTGGATTACGGCAGTATCCTAAAAGATAGTTTGAGATATAAACTCAGTAGTGGTAATACAACAGGTACTAGATTAGGATAAAGTTACTGAACATGCAGGTGAATACATATGTAGAACATATACCGCTCTGTTAGGTTTATCTTGAGGATAAAGTAGTTCTAGATAAAGGTGCAGACATTTAAAATTTTGATGGGTAGCTAAAGTTATTACAGCAATACAACATATTTGCTGTATAAGTAGAAGTGCATATGTTATATAAATATCGTATACTGTATAAACATCATATGTTATATAAGTATCATATGCCATATAAGTATCATATGCCATGTATGATTGTATGCCGTGTAAGATTATATGCTGTATAAATAGTATATATGCAGTATATATATAAATATAAATGCTGTATAAATATTTATAATATATAAATATTGTTTATATGATTATATTAATACAGTATTCCATATAATATGCAAGATACTAATGCTAATATATATAAATAATTGAAAAAAATATATTATTGTAGATTTATTTTTATATTAAATATTTTGTTGATTAAACATCGATTTTAAAGATAATTGTTTTTGATATTCTATATTTAATGTTGTAATACATACCTATCTGTATATATATTTATATAACATATATATCTACTACCTAAAACACGTTTATCCAAAATTTTTTTTTAGAAATGGATGAAAATTCACAAAAAAGAAACTTAGAAGAAGCAAATGAAGATAGTTTTGAGTTAGAAGAAGAAAATACAACAAGCAGTTCTAATTTACTAAGTTTAGCCAAGAAAAAAAAAACTAGAAAGTTTGCTAAAATATGGGATTATTATATTCAAGGTGTAGAAAAAAGTCATAGCCATTATGAAGCTACTTGCTATTATTGTATTTCTAAACAAACTTGGGCAAGAGGAAAATCTGCAAAACTAGAAGCACATTTAGCAAATAAATGTCCAAATTGTTTAGAAAATATATCATGATATTGGCAGGAAAAATTAGCAGCAAAAGAATCAAATTATGCTTGCAAAAAAAAAAATTTAATTTCTGTTCCACAAATATTAATAACATCTTATTTTTTATCTGATCGTCCATTACCAAAAGCTGCTGTTAATCGACTTGATCAAAAAATAACTAAAGCTTAGGTAATGGCAGGAATTCCCTTTAAAGTTATCGAAAATCTATTTATTGTAGATATGTTTAAAGAATTTTTACCTGCATATAATCCACTATCAAGAACAACCTTATCAGAACAATTACTGGATGAAAAGATAGCACAAATTAATTGTGCAGTTGATAAAGAAATTAATAAAGCTGATCATTTAACTTTAAGTTAGTATAATTAGTATATCTATATATATTTTTTTTTATATATTATATATATAAAAAAAATTAATTAGTAATTTAATTAATTCAATATACTGTCAAATAAAAAAGCCCTGAATGGTTGAATGACACCAACAATAGAATCAATTTATAATTACATTATTACAACTGGCTTTCGAAAAGAGTATTTAGTTGGTTTAAAAAATTACTCTTTATATTCTCATACGGTAAGTTTTTAGCAAAAGAAATATCAAATATTATTGAAAAGCTTGGTTCGAATAAGTTTGCAGCTGTAGTAACAGACACGGCTTTTAATTGTAATTTGGCATGTTAAAAAACACAAGAAATATATTCACATATTTGAAATATTAGATATGTAGCACAAGCGATTAACTTTATTGCATCCGATTTGATTAAATTAGACAACTTAAAAAAACTAATTGTTAATTGTAGAAAGATTACTTATTTTTTTAATTCTTTCCATTCAAGCCATTCATTACTTTTAAAGGATTTACAGATATGAAAATTAAAGATGGTGGTTTAAAAACGTGGGTAAAAACTCACTGGGGATCTTTATATTTTACTACGGATTTTATGCTACATGCACAATCTGTATTTGATTGGGCAAGTATAAATTAACTAAATTAATTATACTTTTAATTAAAATCATTTTAATAAAAAATAAAATTATTTTTAGTTACTCTCTGAGCATAAAGAAGCAATTACTAGTCAAGAAATAGCTAATTTAATAGCTAATGAAGAATTTTTTATCATGTGTCGATTAGTTCGTTTCATATGGAAACTATTTAAAGATGTAATTTATGTATTAGAAGCTAATGAGGCTATATTGGCCAATTGCTTTGCATACCTAATCAAGTTGGCTATAGCTATTATATGCTTGCCTGAAATAAATACCTTCAAGATTTCTGCAATTTAAATTTTTAATCGATAGTATGAAGAATTTTTACACCCACTTTATGTTTTAGTATATTATATTTATCTACAATATAAAGGTATGTTTAGATATTGAATTTTAAATAAGCAAATACATTTGTTAACTAAAAAATATATAAATTAAATATATTATATTATATAACTAAAAGCAAGTTTTATATTATTTATTTTATTTAATAATTATTTGCTTGTATATTAAAACAAATTTATAAATTTTAGAAAAAGGTTTAAAAGATAGTAGATTTCACAAAGTGGCTCTTATAGCTATTAAAATTTGGCAAAGTCTTGGGTATACTTAGTCTAAAAGCGATAAACTAATTGCACAAATGCAAAAGTTCGAAGCAAATTTACTACTATATAATCTTCCTTATATTTCAGGAATAGATACTCCAAAACTTTGATAGGGATATTTTAAAAGTTAACCTCAATATTTACCTGATTTAGCGAATAGAGTGTTTTCAATTAATCCTACACAGGCAAGCTATAAGCAAAATTTTTCAATGCTAAAATAGACTTTAGAAGACCGTAAAACAAGTTTGAACCTAAATAAGCTAGAAAAAATATCTAAAATTAGATCATACTATATGACTAATATTCGCCATGAGTCAAACTTTTTTGAAAAAGAATTAATGAAAGCAGATCTTTGAGATGAATGTAACATATCATCAATTGGCAATATTATAGGATATGATGATAATGATGAGATTTCATTAGATAACAATAATATTATATCTAATAATTCTACAACTTTGTTAATCGAGGAAATTGTAGATTTAGAGGCTGAAGAAAATTTAGGACCTTCTGTAGCAAAAACAGTTTAAGATAATTCTTTTGATTTGGATTATGATCTATACGATGTTTTAAATAATTTTTTAGAACGTAAAAACCAGAGAAAGTAAACTAGATTATATACTCAATTTAATAATAAAGCTTTCAAAGATTTAATAAATACTGGTTTAAAATAATTCTTATCAAATTATAATTAATCGCTTACTTTAAAATGAGGAAATTAGTATCTTTCGTTACTAAACAACTACTATATTAATAAATTATATTTGGATAATTACAGAAGTTTTGATTCCGAACAAGATAATTCTACAATTAGTCTGCTATATATTGAAAAATATAGTGTAAGTAGTATATTTATTTAATAATATTATATTATAAATTCTTTAATATTTAAAACTATCATTTGTACTTTGTTTTATAGCATTGGTTATATTAATATGGTGTTGTTTGTATCATTCGTTCTTTAAATAATTGATTAGTGCTAATATTAATAATAATTCCAAAAGTCATTAATTGTTAAAGTTTTATTTGATGTTTTAGGGATATATTAAAAAAGATTCAACTTAAAGCTACAGAATACTAGAAGGTGAATTGAAAATCTATAAAAAAATATATATATTTGAAATAGTTGCATAGAATTTTTGCAAAGTTCATCTCTTAATGTATTTTCTCTCAATATCAAAGTTTATTTATCTAAGACTCGAAAAAGTCAGCATGATGTTCTTTTCAAACGCATTGCTAAAAGATTGAAAATAATAAATCTTTAGTTAATTCAAATATATGAAAAAAAAATCTTGTAAATAATTCATTTTAGATACATTTCAAGAAAAAAAAAAGGGTAAAATAGCATTTGTGAACTAAGATCACTACTCAAGATTCAATTTTGTTCAGAAATTGTTTTAATGAAAATTCACTGCTAATATCGAATCAAAATTGTACCAAAGTTTTAACTCTTTCGCCATATTCTTTAAAGTGCCTCTGCAATATGCATTTGCTAAGGTTTTTTTCTTTCTAAATCAAGTTCGTTATTTCAAAGCTTTGACCCTTTTAATACAGGATATCTGTAAATGCATTCGTTAATATAATACTATTTTTTTTTCTGAAGATTGTTAAAGACACCAAGATACTTTTGCAAAGGACATCTGCTATTGCGATTTCAGTGACTTATGTATACGCGGTACATTTTCGTTATATAAAATCTTTACACGTATTCAATTAACGATTTGTAATATACTACACTAGTATGGCATATTGCTATACTACAGTATACAACAGCACTCACAGCACACGGCATACTATTCTGATACTATATTCCATATAATGGCAGCTTAGTACAAAGGTAGTACAGCCTCTACGTTATTGTCGTAATGCTATGAGTAGTGACTACTCTAAGAAATGTCTGCACCTTTAGTCCTAGATAGGGTGTGAAATCTACAGATATTATAAAATCTAGCATATGAATAGTGAGTTACACCTTGATTAGGTAAGAAATGACAGGCTAGTTGTGACTAGAGAGTTTAAATAAGTAATCCCCTAGTTGAGTTGCAGGTATGGCAGCTAGTGTAGAATCTTGGGCAAACTACTTAAATAGACAACTAAAAGTTGCAGGTATGGCTAGTCGTACTCTCTTGTAAAAGCCAAAGAGCTTAAATAGATAATCTCCTAGTTAGATTGCAAGTATGATAGCTAGTGTAGAACTCAGGCAGACCATTTAAAATAGACAACCAAAAGTTGTACGTGTGGCTAGTTGTACCCTCATCATAATTGTAAATATTGTTAATTATCTAATAAAAAGCCTCTGGTCATAAAGGTCACCTTAATACCGAAAAGAAAAAAAAGCAATATTTTGTCAAATAATTAGTATTTTAAAATTAGTAACAAATTTCACTTCTTTTTTAAGATTATTTTCAAATATATGAATTAAGCAAATAAAAACTGGTTGAAAGAGTTAAGATGGTCAAGAACTTTAAAAAAATATATATTTTACTAGGGTTACTTTACAAATTTGAAAAAAAGTTACTTATAAAGAGAATCATATATAAAGAGTAAGATTTACAAGTATAGCTAAACTTTATTCTTGTTTGTTCTACCCACTACTATAATTTAATTCTTTTTATTATTAATTGATCATATCTAACAGCTATTAAAATATAAATTTTTTAAATAATATATTAGAATAAATCTAACTATAACCAGTGGTGATTATCACCAGGATGCTTATATCTCAAAAATATACTAAGTAAACAGAATTGGGTTTTCTAAGTAAAAATGTTCAGAATTTCCAAAAACCTTACAAAAATTAAGATTGGGTCTTTATAGTAGCTCTATATTATATTATATAAAAAAACAATAATTTTCTAATTTCTAACCTAACCCTAAAATATATCTAGGGGTGGTGACGATCATCATAGGTTATTTTGATTATGATTCAATATATTATATTAGAAGCTTTTATAAGTATTCATTCAAAAATTAAAAAATTGTAGTAGAAGCCAAGAACTCTTTGCTAGATATTATTTATTAGTTGCTTATATCTTCTATGCTTTGCTTTTTTTTACTTTGAGTAGCTTTTTTTCCAAAAAGCAAGAATACCAAATCCTTTTTTGTTCAACTTTTACAATATGTTTTTCTATTTTCAAAATATCTTGATTAATAATATCTGAGATTCTGAATATTTCTTTATTATAACAGATAAATATGTGCTCATATTCTTTAGGTATTAGTTGATTAGAAATCTCAAAAAGCAGATATTTTTTCAGGTTCATTATATTCGATAGCTTCGGTGAATATATTTACTAGCTTCCATAATGCTTTTTTTGCAATCAATCTTTGTATTTGTAGTTTTACTTATACAATTATTAGTTACAAATTCTGCATATAAAGCTAACAACCAATTCCTTTCATTTTGAGCTATCTTAATTATCAATTTTAAATTATCTAGATCTGTTAGATACCTAGTTATGTTTTGTTTAACAAATTTTATATTGAAGCACTCTAATGCTTTATTACAGTGTTGTTCACTGGAACGTTCCAGTGGGAATTACTAGAACTGGAAGATCACTGGACTTAACTAGATAGAATTGGAAGCATTATTGTCTCCAGTGATCGATTGTTGCTGGACCATTCCAGTGAAGATTTTTATCACTAGAATAGAAGTTCCAGTAATGTCCAGTGACTTCTAGTAGTTTCTGATTGGCCGATTTGAATTAATCACTGGAGATAGTGAGCAAAGATTAAACGGTATAAAATTTAAACTACCCGTTTATACAAACATTACCAGATTACAAACAGAATCATTTCTGATAACCAGAGTAATTGGTATAGATTGTGTGATAATATTAAAGGCTTTGTTAACAAATTTTACAATGTTTTTGGTATATTAAAAATATTGATTATATTATCATAATGAGATATATGAATAAAGAAAGAATCATTATTTTATAAGCTTGAAACAGTATCAGAAGATGAGTGAAAAGTAAACTGAATATATTGTATTGAATAGCTTTAGAAGCTTGAAAACAATTAGTTGCCAACTAACTAATTTGATTGGCCAATAGTCATATTTAGATTAGCCAATCAGGCGAATACATTCTAGTGAGAAAATCGTTCCAGTGGGATTTCTCACTGGAACCACTGGAACACTAAAAGAATCTGGATGTTCAGTAGAATTCCAGCATTCCAGTGACAACACTGCTTTATTATATACAAAAAAATATCCATCTGCAATAGGATTTACAGACTCAACTATCTGAAGTTTTGCTTTTAGAGTTGGGTTTGTTTTTACTGTCATTAAAAAATGTAATACTGATATTGCATATTTGCTTTTTCCAATAATAGAAAATAATGATACAAAAGCTTTCAAGTGTTCATGTTAAACCTCAAAATTACCCATTCGAATACCAATTTTATAAAGCTTAAAATAACTTGCCTATTTATAATATAAGATTCAAACTTTCAAAATATTATTATTTTCATTTTCAATATTTGCTAATGTTATACAATGTTTATCTATATACATATGTACAACAATAGCTATAGCTGCCTAGATAAGCTCACAAACATAAAATGTTGCTTTATAATCTACAACATCCTAAAGCTTTTTTAAGTACTTTGTACCAAGTATAGATGCTTATCCAAATAACCCATATCCAGAGAAGGCAACAATTAAAGTGCTGTATATATCTAGGGTTGTTAATGGAGTGCTTCAGACAATAATAAAACATATAACCCACTCCAGAGCACTCCAGAGGTGAGTTATATGTTTCATTATAAACTGGAATACTCTATTAACAACCCTATATATATCTTTGCTTATGTGCTATTGACCAAGAATAAGATTTAATTTTAGTTAAGTATTAGAAAAATCTATAAGTTTTCAAAAAATTGCTTCATTATAAGCAATATTCAAAGATTCTTCTTGATTTAATTCTAAGTCCTCTATATATATTTTATAGGCTTTATGCACTACAAGATTTGTACTTGGTGCTAGTTCAGCTTCTAAAATAACAATATTTGGTGAAGGAACTTTATATTCTTTTCTTACTGCTTTTTTAAGCATAAAATTTATTTTACTCATACCAAATTCTATTGGATATTCTATTATCAACTGGTTGAAGATTTGAGTAAGCTTTCTTATCTACTGCTTTGTGAATTGGTTGCTTCCATACAAATTATCAGCAGAAATATTAGAACTTAAAGATTGTATTTTAATATTAGGCATTTTAAACTAAAAAACCATATATAAAGTAGTATAAGCAATATCTTATGTATTGTCATAAATGTTACTAGCTCTGAATGTTTTTTTTTTGAAATCTATATTGTCTATTACTGCCAAGTTTCAAATATTTGATCCAAATTTTAGTCTTTTTCATATATCTTTTCTAGCATATGATTTCTTTGAACCTTCATCTTATAATCTTTTGAGTATACTACTACATTTGCAGTACAAAGAATAGTATGCAAATATAATAAAAGCTTGGGCCATTTACAAAAAGATCTAATTATTTATAGAAGCCAAAATTTCCAGCTTCTAAATGCATATGCTAGAATGACAGAGGAAAGAAAAGATATACTTTTTACTATTTTACTTCTGTCTAGTTTAGTTATTTTTTTCTTGCATTCTTTTTGTTTTTATTTAACTATTTTATAATTTTTAAGATGCAAAGTGAGAACTATACTATCAAAGAAACTTGTTAAACATTTCAGCATTGCTTCATAATATTGTTGTAAAGACTCAGAACTTTCTAATACCTTCTTATAGGAAGATAAACTAGCACATGATTTTAAAATTTCAAGGGCAAGTGATTTTTCAAATTCTTTACATTTTTTAGGCTTCAATATAAATTGTTTTAAATATTTAGAAAAATCACAACTTTTTGATCTTGAAAGCTATATTAACTACAAACAAGCTAGATAATTTATTTATTTGTGCAGATGATAAATTCAAATCAAAGTTTTTTAGATATAGATTCAAAACTTGAAGTAAATGTTTTTTTATATTGTCATCTTCTGACTCTGCTACAATTTTAATTAGCTTTGCAAAACATTAAAGAGCAGTTGTAATATCATCTGAATATTTTGCAATATATCTCATATCTACAATATTTCCTAAACCTTGATGTATGTACAAATGCCTCTATTCTTTTTATAACACTAGCAATATACAAAGCAAACTCCCAGTAAATTCTTCATATTTTCTGTATTTGTACTATTTTTAATTGCTAGACAAAGAACTATTCCATAACAAGGTACTTGTATTGTCTAATTGTATACAATTCAAGTATGTTCTAAACAACTTACTCTATAACTAAAAATAACTTTTTTTTTGTGCCAGAAAAAGCAGATTCAGAAATTGAATTGACTTCTATTAGTTGGACGTTTGCTTTTTAAATTTTTTCTGTATATAGTATTTTGATCATAATTAAAATGTCTTGAACAGACTTCAAGAAGGTGAAGTTGTTTATTAACTTCTTCAATAGCATTTGTATCAATTTCCTAAACACCAACAAGTTCTTGTAATCTTTTATTACTAATTCTATTGCAGCAACATATCTTCTCATAATTATTATTAATTATAATACACAATGTAGTGGGCTTTTGTATAGTTGTGGGGATTTCTTTACTATATTTACTACTAACTTTTTTAATTTCCTCAATTTTCTTGTAGTTAATATCTTGCATATCTTTAGCATTAAGCTCTTTCCAGTAAAAAACTTTGCACAATTATTAAGAGCCTTCAAGGAAAACTTCCAGTTCTTAAAACTCTGACAGCATGATATTCAGATCTCTATCCAGATGCAATATGCAAACTTTGTAACAGTAGAAAGGGGGAATCACAAGAATATTTAGCTTGTTGTAGTGCTTACAAAGATAAATGAAAGCTAATTGAAAAAAGTATAACAAAAATCTTGTGTGAAGAAATCAATTCTGAATAAGAAAATAAAGCGATTATAGAAAAGCAAGTATATGAAGTTCTATTCGGGTATATAGAAGAAGAAATAGAATATACAAGAACATATTTAATAAGAAGTTTAGTCAAGAAAAAATAAAAAAAAGACTAACTAAATGGTGCAACTTGCAAGTAGAAGCAAGATACCTGCTCAAGATTCTTTTTACAGCAACGTGAAATTACTTCTATGAAGATATTTGAAAACCAAGATATAAAGTGATCTCAAAATGGAAAAAGTCCTTAGATATTTCAATAAAGAAAAAATGCAGGTATAAAGAAGGTAAAAGTGACCAAGTTCGAAGCTGAAGTAGAAAGAAAAATTATAAGTCCCAAACAAATATTCAAGTAAAAAAAGAGTCTAAGAGTCTGAAGAAGCATAAAGAGATGGACAATTTGTAAGTTTTTATTATCATGGTGAAGCGTAGCATTAATTAAACATGGCGAAGGCCCTTAATAATATTACACACTCCTTTCCAAAATACTAGACGGATAACCGCGTGCTTGCATGTGGGTGTCCGTCGCGGTCATTTTGGTAACTTAGAAAAAGCCAGAACGGGTCTTTGGATAAACAATATTCTGGAGAATGTTCATGATTACGTAATACCTACTAACTCCCTATACATGGGTGGTTTTTGATCACTTTGTACGGCAGCCGAATGGGGTCCTTTTTGTTTTTTTCTTAATAAAAATGGACTCTTTTTTCATTTTACACCCCAAAAAAAATGTGATTCAATTAGTGGGTGGTTTTTACTTAAGGAAATTTAATTAGTGGGTGGTTTTTAATTAAGGAGATTTAATTAGTGGGTAGTTTTTTTGGGGTGCAAAAGTGTATGGCTGCTATACAAAATTGTGAAGCTGCTTGGAAAACTTTGTTTGGTATCAATATTCAGATCCTACCTAGTGAAGTAATGAAGAATATCATTTATTAATGACGAAACTAACAAATTAGAATTCAATTAATAAGCAGATTTGAAAATATCTCTATAATAATTAAGAACTGATTAGACATCTCTTTCTGACGATCCCTCATACCAAAATTACAACAAACCTTTTTTCCAAAAAACAGTAAACTATGGAAGCAAAGAG